AAGAGTGTATATTGAGGGAGCCTTTTCTTGGAGTTGCAAATGTTCTATTTGGTCTCTATGATTCAAACTAGGAACAGCAGGTGATGGGGGACAGAGAGGGTCGGTTTCACTTCTCTGTTACTGTAATGTATTAGAAGAAGAAAAGCAGATTCTGTTCTACGTTGTGTAGACTTAGGGTTTAAAAGCTCTGTTCCTTTCGGATGAGAATGAGTAGAACTGTTTCTGATTATTATTATTATTACTAACGGTTTGCTGATCATGTGCTTGTATATTTGATCATAATAGGTGGAGAGGGTTTAATTATCGACACAAACCAGTAGACAGGGTTCAGATTGAAAGAAAATATCACAACAAGGTACATACATGCTCGAAGTTCGTATCTTTGGACATAACTTGTGCACACTTGGTCCTGAATAATAAATTATTCAGGAAAGGACACTGGAGGAACACAAGAAAATGGTGGCGAAGATTTTGAAACGAGATCAGAAGCGGAGAAAGAGAATAGAGGCTGCTGGAATAGACTATGAATGCCCAGAGATTGTGAGTTATCCATTTACATATCTCAAAGTCATACATTACAATTTCGAACACACAATCAATGACATGACACCATATCTTGTCTGGCTTTCAGGTAGGGAGTGTCCAACCAGCTCCAAAGAAGATCAGGTTTGGTGATGAAGACTAAATGACAGTGTCTGCAACATTGGTCTGAGAAGTTTTGGTGAGCTCACCGATGGGTTTAGGACAAGAAGATTAAAAAAAACAAACACTACATTTCTTAGCTTTTGCTATGAAATTCTACTTGAATGGATCTCAGATTCTCTCTATAGTGTCAACATACTTTCTGGGTACAGCCGGTGTCAGTCTTTTCCGAGAAAATTCATCCTTGGAATCTGTAACAGAGTAAGAGAGAGGAACGACGGTGGCGATGAGGACATAATTCTCCTCATTCCCCACTTCGATCTCATACAACTCGGCGAAAACTCGTCGGAACTTGTCTTTCAGTTCATCGTAGAATGTCCGATTCTGAGGAATGACATTGATTACCAGAATCCCAGATCGATGGAGAACAGATCTTGCAGCCAAAAGAACATCTTCACTCACAAAATCCACCGGAGGAGCTGTGACGCCGTGAATTGGATCAGACGAATCCAAATCAACCATCACAGCATCAAATTTAACATCTTTGAGAGCTTCATCAATGGATACTCTCCTCAAGAACTCGATCCCGTCTTCAACATGAACACTTGCAATGTCTTCCTCTAATCCGAAGTATTTCCTAGCGACCCTCAAAACCTCGGGGTCTATCTCCACGCCCGTAACCTCAAACCCTAGTCGAAGATTTAAGAAGCTAAGCAGAGCGCCGCCACCAACGCCAATGCACAAAGCCTTAGGCCTAGAAGAGAGTTCATCGATGGTGGAACCGATCAGAGAGAGACTTGCCACCATTGGTGCCAAGTATGGATGCACCAGAACTGTGAGATCAGTTCTGAACTCTGTGCCCTGTAATGGCATAGAATTGGAACCAGGATTCGGCGTTCTTGGGACGATTCTGATGTCGGTTTGGACCAAATTCGGCATTCTCTTGAACCTCAATCTCCTCCTCAGCTCTCTGACACCATCGACCTCTAACTCTACGTCCTCTACAAGCATCTCGCCTACGTATTCTCCGACGGATTTCTCGATCTCCACGCTGCGGACCAGATTATCGTCGTAACTCAAAAAGGGTACGTCGGAGATTCCGTTTTCAAGATGGGTTTTGGGAGATAGAGCCATCACAAGCAGTCTCAGACTATGCTCGAGTCTCTCCCGATCTCGGTCTTCCCCTCCGGCGACGGAAGCGGAGCCGTCGATGGGATCGTCGCCGATCAGTATGAGCCGCGAGATGTCGGGGAGGTTGAGAAGGAGCTGGAGATGACCAGATTCGGTGGAGAAGATCCAGTCCGTCTCTCGGTGCTTGGGGACGAGCATGGCGGCGACTCGGGGCGGTGACTCGGGGGGGTGAAGGGGCGAGTCGAGGATGGCGACTCGGAGGAGGCGGAGAGGGGGAGGGAAAGTGGGATTGGGGATGGTGAAGGAGAGGAAGCGAGAAGGAGAGATCTTTTCGAAGATGGTGACATCGACCGCCATGTCTCTTCTGCTCCGTCCGACCATCTCTCTGTTCCGCTTCTGAAACTTAAATGCTTCGGATTAGAAGAAACCCGGTTTAAGCAAACCGAACCGGTTACGGCCTCGAGGAGCTACTCAAAGGATCAAAGATTGAATCCATGCCAAAAAAGAACATTTCTCTCAAATGGCCAAACATTTTTATATTCTACTTCGGAATAATATTGGTTCCTTCAAAATATGCAGAGGTAAAATTGCATGAAACCATTACAGTTTCAAGGGGAATAACAAAAAACGATTTCTGCATCAACCGGAGGGGAAAAAAATTTGTCTGACAGCATACAGAACACACAACACACACAAAAAAAAAGACAGAGGTCAAGATACAGACTTTAAAGGCAAACCAGATACATATATTATCCTATCAGATTGTCACCGAAGAGTAACATTCCGACAGAGACCACATGTATACATATGTATATATATAGAAGTATCCAGCTCTCATATTCAAAGTCTTGCCCTTTTTTATTCAGAGGCGGAAGAACAGAACAGGACAGAACCCAAGTTCACTCAGCTTTGCCATTACGGTGAGAAGCAACGAATCCACGGAGAACATCCCCGGCCAACTCAGGTGCAGTCTTGTTATCGAGTCTAGCGAGTTCATCCACTGCCTCGTATGTTTCCTTGTCCACTTCTACTCTCAGGTTGTGGGTCTGAGCCGATGGGCTCGATGGCAATCCTTCCCATGTATTGATCAGCTCCTTCAGTTTCTCAAACCCCTGATGACAATTTGATAATCAACAGATAGTTAATCACCCGTTCGGATTGAAAGAAGGTTATGTCTTTTTAGCTGAAGGCAGATTTGATTGGGAGGAGAAGGATATATATAGTGTTAAGTTCGCTCGGATCCTCACCATGCGGACTGTGAAGTCGCCAAATGATTCTCGGGCTTGCCTCTTGAGTCTCCAGTGATAAAACAGCGGCTCGAAGACCTTTTCCAAGTCCTGAACCTTAACTCTGTCCATGAAAGCCTTGGCTAACTGGGTCTGGCCCGGTGTTCCCCCGAGCCAAATCTGCAGAAACAATAAAGCGAAAATATGATCTTCCGACAAGGAAAGCCTTAATGAAAGAAGAACAAACCTGTGCTTGAAAGTAGTACCTGGTAGCTATTAGGGCCATCCCCGACAAGCCCAAGTTCAGCCATGTAGGGTCTGGCACAGCCATTAGGGCACCCCGTTACCCTTATAACAATGGATTCTTCGTATTCAAGACCAACCTAAAACAAAGAAAATGGCACATCAACTGCTGCTATGGCATACAATTAGACCAGATTGCTTCGATTGATAGCTAATATAGACAGTCTTACCTTCTCAAAGACTGCACGAACCCGCTTCAGAATACCGGGAATCCCTCGCTCAGCTTCAGTTATTGCCAGAGGGCACAAAGGAAATGCTGGACAAGCCATTGCTGTCAGGTTGAGAGGGTCAACATACTCTGGTTGCTGCTCCAACAAAGTTATCAATGTTAAAGAAAGAGTACATGAGATGCAATGCTTGTCGATCTGATTCATGTTTTAAGCTGACAATTGCTTACAAGAAGCCCGGCTTGAGCAAGTGCAGTGGTGATGGGACGCTTCCACTCGCTCTGGATATCACACAATATTAAGTTTTGGTTGGGGGTGATGCGCACGTCGAGGTTGTGCTTCTCTATTATTTCTCTGAGAGTTTTCTTCATTTGGCCTCCAATGCGACCACTGTCTACGTGAAGCCCACAAAACCAGGAACCATCACCCTGTCATTTCCATCTCAATGATCAGCATATGATGAAAACTCAGTAACCAGTAAGTGCCCGAAATAGAAAAAAAGATCAAATCCAACAAATAGAGCATTTCATGAGGTCAGTCTTGAGACAAACCTGCTCATGCCATCCCAAATAGCTTTTGAACTCCCACTCCGGCATGTCACGGAAAGGCTCGAACTTCTTACCATAATATTGCTCAACCACACTTCTAAATTTTTCGATTCCCCATGAGCTGATCAGATATTTCATTCTACTGTATTTACGATCGTCTCTTCTCCCATGTTCTCGCTGAGTAACAACAATGGCCTTCACAGCATACAAGATATCCTCCTTAGGCACATAACCTATTGGTTCCCCCAGACGGGCAAAAGTTGACTCCTGTCTGTGTGTTCTTCCCATCCCTCCACCAACCTGAAGTATGAGTTATTAAAAAAAACATCAGCAGCTTCAGAGAAAAGCACAGGAAGGAATCCTACAAGTATATTATATGTAATCTAACACAATGCCAACTTACATATATATTGAAACCCTGAGGTTCCCCATCTTTATCTGAGATGACAACCACACCAATGTCGTTGGTGAGAATGTCGACCGAGTTATCTGTTGGCACAGTTACAGCAATCTTGAATTTCCTCGGCAAGAACTGGGCGCCATAAATGGGCTCAGGAGAGTCAACAAAGTTAGTTCCATGGGAGTTATCGTTTCGAGCCTTCACTACCTCCGGAGGCTCGGCTGACATAAACTTCTCGCCATCAACCCAAATATCATAATAAAAACCAGACTGTGGAGTGAGAAGAGCAGCGATATTCTCAGCTGTTTGTTGCGCAAAGAGATAGTCTTTTTTCGCATAAGGAGCCGCTGGAGCAAGAACATTCCTGTTCAGATCACCACAGGCACCAAGAGTGCTACCCATGTTTTTTATAATGGTGCTCATCACGGTCTTAAGATCCTTCTTCAGAACACCATGCAGCTGAAATGTCTGCCTAGTCGTTAACCGGAGGGTACCAATGCCAAACTCATCGGCTAAGTCATCCATGGTCAAGTAGAGACGATTAGGGACCTTTCCACAAGGGTTCTTAGTACGAAGCATGAACGAGTAGGATCTTCCACCACGTTCTTCTCTGTTATACTGTTGGTAGCTTCCATGGAACTTGATGAGTTGCACGGCAGATTCGTTGATGTTAGGAGTATCTGTCACCAGTTCCTCATTAAGAGGATACCTTATGTAATTACTCTTCTCCTTGATTATCTCGACCTTGCTCCGCTTGGTTTCCTTTGCCGTCTCTGGCTTTGCTGGCTGAAATAATGATATACAGAATATCAGAAAGGCCGAATCCTTTTGGCCGATTTCTCGTGTCGAGACAACCCTTAAAAAATCTAACTGCTGTTGTCACCCATTCATTCATAACATAAAATTCGATCATCTGTTGATCGTATCGACCCCTATAAACACCACTGATACGAAATCAAGCTTTGATTCTCACATACAGAACTATCATTCCCGATACCATTTCGAAAACTAAGCCAACCAGAAATCATCTCCACAACAATTGGAATCAGATAAACAAAATCAAATCTAAGAACATGCACGAAGTAATTTCAGCAATTTGCGTTATAAATTCCCTCCTACGCCGAGAACCGCGAGATAACTCGAGATCATAAAATAGAGAAATTGAAAAACCATGGCAAAAGGAGAGTAACAGAGGAGAAGTTCTCACCGTGGAAATGGCTTTGATAATCGAAGAACCTGACGAAGACGCAGGAACCGAAACAACGCCGCGCACACTCCTTCCCATGAAAACTGAATGTGACGACTTCAAAGCATCGAACCTCCCGACTCGGATCTTCTGATCCGCCGGAATCACGGTGGCGGCGCCCGCCGGAGCACGAAACGACGTCGTCATCGCCTCCGATACAGAGAGAGAGATGGTGATAACTGATAAGACGAAAAAGGGCGTGTGTATGTGTGTCTTATATTCAGGGAAAAATCTGCGAGGCTGTGGTCAAAGCTAACGTGCGCTCGTCACGTGCATGGCACAAGACCTCTCTGAGGCGGCTAATATGAAAAGCGCGTGAGATTCACAGCTTTTTCTTGAACTGTTTATCCACCGTCGATGAGTTGCATCGGACGGTTAAAAGCGCGCGTTATTAACACTCGCGGTGCAGGCGCGTGAGCTGAAGATCTTTGAATAGAAATGAAAAATCAAACTTGTGCTCTTTGGTGTACTGAACCGGACTACATTCCAGGGTATATACAAAGTAAATGGTGAGTGCAGTTATTCTTCTCGCATAATAATAGTTGCGATCTCCTGCAGTCAGGTGCACGTAGGGATTGTGGAATATAAAACGTGGCGGATAGTTATTGGGAGATAGTTGCTGACCAGATAAGTGTACACAGTGACTCACCTACTTGCCTTGTGGTTGGTCCGAAGGGGTATGAAGAGGATGTGTTTAGCAACACATGCTAAATATGGATTTTGTAGTTGGCAAATCTAACTCCCTTCCCTTCTCATAATCTACAAAATCTAATATTTATTACCATAATCTCATTGTTTTGCTTAATAATTTCTTATACAAAAAAAAAACAGTTGCCATGTTGTCATAATTCCATCCCTTTGTATCATAATTTCTTATTATATATTATCTTGTTAAATATAAATATATATAATAAATATTGTCATGTTTCGTGGTATTGGCGGTACTTTGTGATGTTGTCATATGAGTTTTCTTTTTCTTTTTCTAGCATACAATACATTATATTCTACTAACAAAAAATTATTAAAAAAAAATCCATTTTTCGGTGGACCACCCCCTTAAAGTATTTTCGGACACTACAGAATGATTTTTTTTAATGGATGGTCTCAGTTGATGGAATATTATTTCATATGTGAGAAAAAGTTTATCTCTTTGCATAATCCTTTCAAGTATATGAAATGAAAAGATTATTGTAACTTGCTAATGTAAGAAGAAAAAAAATAATTGGAATATTTTGGAGAATTTCACCATGACTTGGTTGGATGGTCTATTTGCTCAGGGATAAATAATATGATCCTTATAATAAATCTAGTAACTATAGCGGAACAATGATATCCCGTGGTTTTACAATAAGGTCTTTTTATAATCTTTTTGCCACCTTTTCTTTGGGTGGTAGAGCCACTTTAACTTTTTCCTCTTTGTTGTATAGTGAGTGACAGCGTTGACAGGTGCGAGCGAATATATACACACATACATATAGGTATACATACATGTTAATGAGCCAGGCCGGCGTACGTCTCAAGCCCATTAGAAAATCACGCGTCGCCGGAGAGGAGAAACGCTAAAAAACCTCCGGTGACCGGAGAAATTTATTAATAGTGTTGCTAAAAATGCAAAGGCAATTGACCGTTAGTGGACCAATGACTGAATTGTTACAACAATTTGTTAGAGATAAAAATAAGAAAAAGAATGTCTTTTTTTCCCCTTCTTCGGCCCTATGAAGTCAGAAAATAAAACCTTTGGATCTTCTAAACTCTTGTGTCGAATGGCCTTTGGTCGGAACGTGGAACATAGTCTGTCTTGTTTTATTTCAAAGAGAGCAAGAGAGAGAGGCAGAGAGGTGAACGATCTTATTTCGCGGCTTTGGCTTTAGCCTTCAGTTTACTTGCCGAAAAATGAAGTCTAGCCATTAGAGGCCGGGGGGCACGAGTCTTTTGGTCGAAACCCCGAACACATACAAATCCTGCAGAAAGAAGTGTAATGTATTGTGGTAAGTAAATCCTGCATCCGAGACATGACGAGCGTTTGTAGTAGAGAACAACGTTGGTCCTAGATTGTAATGGTTATGTTCACAATTTAGGAGTAAATCCGAGACGAGGAATCTTGTACCTTTCCAGAAGCAGTACTGTATTTGCTCCGTCGAAAGGCCTGCATAAAGTTCATGCCCATTTTGTGAGTGACCATTCAAGATCGTTGGAAGCAAAAGATGAAAACCAGCTAAGCTATATGGACAAATCTTTCTAGCTTATGTTGCGATTGGACATCGATCTAGAGGATAATGAACGTAATAGAACCGACCCATAAAAGACCCAATTAAATCATTCCTCTAAAATCTACACGTAGAACCTACCTTAAAAACTAGCTTATTGGAAAAAGATCCCATATTTGGCTGATGTGGGATCCTAACAGAAAGCTGGAGATATTCTTACCTTTGAAAATTGAGGTCACAGAAGTACCGAAGTATACTATTCGTCTAGGTAGATTCCATATCCATTCTCTAGGAACATCAATGGGGTTGAGGCTCGACTCATGGTCAGCAAAGACCTGCAGGACAATAACATCCGATTATTAAATGACAGAAAGAATAACAAAAAATAAAACAGTCGGATCAGTGGATATGTTTCATTGCATTTACCTCATTAACTTGGAAGTATGTCCCATTAAGCGGAAAGCTCCCTCTCATGGCTGTTCTACAAGGTATCTGTTGAATGGAGGCAACACATGTATTAATAATCTCATGCGTGTCAGCTTGGACTATATTCTCATCACCGTGACACGTAGATCGAGACATCTCACCAGAAGGGTTCCTCTGACTTTTTGTGAGTTTGCTTCTCTCACGCTATTGCATGCAGAACAAGTCTCATCGCTGCACAACATGCCCGGCTCTTGCCATTCACACTTCCTTTCAGGTGGATGAGTTGAATCAGCAGTCTCACCTAGCAAACCAAATATTATATATTGGAATCTATCTCACGACTAATACAAACAACACCCATCAATTATAGGTTTCTGATTTCATTTTATAGTTTCAGAAACTTCCTTTCAACATTTTTGCACGCCTTCAAATGATTATCTTGGCCAATTGGTGCATCTATATTTTCTGATGAACAAATTTAAAGTCTGACTCTGAGTTTGCTTTCTTCCATATCCTACACAGTGAAGTGCTTTATTCTCACCTGGTGTCCAAATAGCTAGAAGATATGGACTGGGGTCATCTGGTTCTCTTTTATCCATCTGTTTTTACATGAAAGAAAATAGCTTTAAGCATGCTATTCAAAATGAAACCACTTTGCGGTATCCGTAGAAAGAAACATATGACTTACACCGTCCAGGAGAGGATGCGAATCCGGGAGCTCATACCTGCATCAAACAATTTTCCCAACACATTTATCATTTCCTTGTATCCTATTTCTAGCACAAACTTTGCAAGCATTATCATCATCTGAAATCACTTCTGATGGACACAGATTCTATCCTCCATTGCTTTCCTGGAATTAATGGGACTCGTACAGCCCGACTCAGATTGGCCGCACTGTGCTACAACAGGCAGGCAGGTCTAACCCTAACCAGACTTACATGGGTTTGCAGGCCGAATGGGACGGCCCATTTGCTGCACAACTCATGTAAAACTTTTGAAGAGAAGAAGTCTTTACCCCTAGTAATGTCAATTGGTAGAAGAGTATTGAGATTCTTTTATTCCTTAATCAACCATGTCATAACATGATAGTTTAAAATCAGATTAAATAATATTTTTTCTTTCATTCAGTTTGTCAACATGCAGGCTGACTCACATAAACCAGCGCGAGTCAACCCACATAATCCATGAGTCAGAATGGGTTGGTCAACGAGTCAAATAGACTGGAAAACTCCAACTTACCCTGCAAGTTTAGGGAGACAGGCCGGTCAGTGCCTGGGTTCTGTCCCATTTGCAAACTGTTTCTCAGATTAACATAACAAATGTAACAATTTTTGTGATATCTATTACTAGTTCCCTTGGTGATCATGCTTGGCTAAGGAATTAGAGGAAGAGATCAACTTACACTTGGTGCTCAGTCCTCAACCGACTAATATTCTTCAGTTTCTGAGATGGAATAGATGTAGCTGCTGGATCCAAAGCAACCAAAGCCCTGGACATGTCACCTTCTTGGAGTTCCATGTTCTTTTCCATATAATCCTGTAGAGTTGCACTGAACTCTTTGAGGTTGAGTTCTATGGTGGGGATTTCGTCAGGGTCTTCATAGTAAGCATCCTCAATGTCACTCTCTGTTATTTCTGTGCATTCTTGCTCGGGTGTCACTGGTACTTCAATTATGGGTTCGCAATTCCCACTATGTGAAGCTCCCCTTGGTGGGTTCTGCTCTGGAGGAAGTAGTTTCATGGTAGGGAAAGCCGTGGTATG